AGATTTACATAGGGTTTAGGCCGGGCTGGAGAGGAGCAATGTGAATTTCTTCAAAAAAAAAAATTGGAGAAATTTGGGGAGAGTGGTGAAATTACTTAAAATTAGGATTTTGTTTTGGAGGATAGGGACTTGTATTGATTGCATCGTAGGCTGCTTGTTGAGGAACGATGATTCATACTTTATATCAAACAGATTCGAAATACCAGGCGAAGATGGCGGATGAGTTGACCTTGGTGGCCACCGGGGAACAAAATGGGGGTGGCGACGGTGGATCAAATCTCATTCTCTGAGATCGTAACAGGCTGACACCATATTAAATTAATTTTCGATCAGGAGTAAAAATGAAAGTTCAAATGAGAAAATGAGTTGTATATTAGAAGGTTTGACCAAATTAAAAAAATTATACATTTTGAAACTGGACTATTTTTGTAGGATGGAGGGAGTATATATGAATTAGTAGGATAATAATTTTACGAAGAGTATATAAAAATAAACTAAGATAGCATTAATAGCTAACTGAGTTTTGAGTGGGTTTAAAGTTTAAAACAAATAATTGGATGTCAACGTTTCCGATCCCAAGATAGACTTGAAATACTATTAAATCATACTCCAGTTTTTGCTGTTTAATTGTTGGATCACACGTTCACTAAGTTGACTTGGCGTATCTATATCTGATCTACTGTATACTAAATTGGGTTGTTTACAAGATAATTAAATTAACGTAGTTAGACGTCTCCTAGGGTTAATTTAGAAAATATTCGAGTGCATCGAGTAGCTCACGAAAGTCAAAACATGTATCCATGCATGTATACATGGTCGACCAGTAACGAAATTTATTTAATCCAAACATTGTAGAATTAGTCTGTTGTATCTATTATTTTAAAATCTCTATATATGTGTATATATTATATATATATATATGCACTGTCTAATAATTAATAATTAGTAACAAAATTTTACACTTTCACATTAGTTATTAAGAGGTCCTGAACCTCACTTTCAGGAGGAAAAAAGATTACAATATTACAAATTCTATGCTCTCTCTATCAGTTGGAACAAAAATTTTATTTCATGATTTTTATTGTACCAAAAGAAAAAAAATTTATTTCATGATTTTGAAATATAGAGATGAGGGATCAATTAATTAATCATTTATAACGTTGTTGAGTAATACATGTAGTTTCGTCCATCTGTCATTTTCTGAGTTTGTTATTCTGAATTTGTGAACTTTCGTTGAGCAGAAGGGACATCTTTAATTTATTCAACAAAAAAAAAAAAAACCCTGAACCCACCATGAAATCTTGACTCGCAACCTCATGATGATAATAATTCATTATTTACTATATCGCCTAACAGTTTCAACACAAAATTTTGGATAACTTTATCCTCTGGTAACTAAAAAATTTCTGAAAGAAAAATGATTTGTATCTAGTTAATTAAGCCCACTAAATATTATAGTCCACACTATGATAGTTATTTCCTCTCTCCCGTTATCCGGACAATAATCTCCCACATACATTGAAGATTTTTCATTTTTTATTTTTTTGGACCAAACTAGTTTTTGTTTGTTATAAAGCATAATTGCCCATCAATTTTTTCTGGATACATTTTCTTTAATTTTATGAATGCATATGAGGGGCGTGAGTGACTTGGGTTCAATAGTCCCTTCGGTTTTATAGGCACAAATGAAAGTTTATAAATAAAAACGGAGTGAGTAATAATACTTAAATTTGACTAAACGATCACCTCCTAGAGCTCGAATTATGCATGTAAATTTCAAACTCGAATGGTGGTCCTGTAGCTCAGATTCATTAACGTATCAAATATCAAATTAAGAAAAAACAAAGTTTTGAGACACAGAAAAAAAATATTGTAAAAACTTATAATGTCTGATGTGTACCTATTAATTGAGTTTAAAAATATAATTTTAGAGAAAAAAATAAAATTTTAATAGGAGAGTGACAACAATATAGGACGGCGATAATACTCAAGTCAGTCACTACCTTTTTTTGTATTAGTTTTTCATCACATATATCATTTTCATTATTATTTATTAGCAATTGGTTTTCTTGGTCGCTACATTTATTTTTTGCGGTACAATAGGCAAACTCTAAAGAGATTTAAATTGTTATATTTTGTGGATATTGAAGGTCTAATTAAATCGTGTTCTAATTATTGTAAAATCTCGGAAGGGGAATCGATAAACTAATTAATATCTCCAGACAAGTACTAGCTAAGAATGGTAAATAATTGGCCAAAAAATTAACTTCATGAAGCGGAGCTTAATTCTCCAGTCTCTTTGCAACAATTTCCGAATTCTCAACATCAAACCTCGATAAATGCCAACTAGCTGATAATCACTACTCAGAACCATTGGTACCACGTTTTAACAATCTACTTCCAGAATAACTTACGGTAGCCTTTTTTCCTCCCTAATATTTTGGGGCACATTTACTTTAATTTAACGATTGGATGTGACTGGGGAGGGACTTAAGTTGTAGTTCTCCTTTTGATTCCATATATTTGGTACAGATTAATATTTTATATGTAGGATTGGAGGTAGCCGTAACTCCTGAATTTGACTAAATGAACGATTGGTGTTAAATTAAATTTTCAGATTATCAAATCCGATGGAAGTATGGAATGGAACCTTCAAATCAAGAGACCGAATCAGCAAAATTAATATACCCCCGTCTAGCGAGAAATGAATTATCAAGTTCCTAATGAATTATTTTTTGCATATATAACAAATTAATTTAACAGTTATTTTGAGATGAAATCTTTAAATTTACTAATGTTCTTCTTGAAACATAATTTGAATTCCCCAAATTAAGACATACACCTCTTGATAAGTGAAATAATTACTTTAACTGTATCTCCAAATGATTGTTCTATTTGAAAAATTATATTTTAATAAAAATAAAAAGTTCAAATAGGAGAATTAATTTTTAGACGGAAGGAATGCTTAGTATAACACAAGATATGAAAGATTCAGATTATTTTCTACATTTCTTTTAATTTTTTATCTCTTCCACACTATGGCGATTCATGCTGCATTGATGAATCAAAAGTCAGCATCCGATCATCAAAGTAATTAAAGCCACAAAGAGAACACTAATGATTCTTATTTTTTTTTTTATGTTTTATTTTTTCTTGGCTTCCTCCCACAAGTAGCAAACTAAGTCTTTTATTTAAGGTTGTTCCTTACAACTTACAGGTCCTCGGATATGACACCGTAAGTCAACGGCAAAGGACAACCAAGCAAACAAAGCACCCCGTCGGAAAATTTTGAAACATGGGTTGACTTGGTTGAAAACAAAAGGGCCAGCACACAAACAATTTTCTTTTCCGGCCGGTCCGGTCGTGGAAATTATTTGATTCCGACGGACGGTGGTTAACTGCGTTGACCGTCGACCGCATCCAGCCAATGTGGCCATGTGACTTTTTGCAATCTAGGAAGCTTCAAACAACCTCCTTCCCCCCCAAACCCAACCCCCCCCCCCGCCGCAACAGCTGTTCTTCTTAATCAATAATAACACACGGGAGCCGTTTATTATGGCCCAAATTCCTCTTCTTCTTTTTTTTTCGGTTTATTATTATTTTTTTTCCTATTTTTGGTGTAATTAATGTTAGAGTTGACATGTTATATATCTAAAAGACCTAAACGTTGAAGTTGAATTCTTCTCTCTTCAACTTGGTTGATTAAATACGGTTGAAATCTCAGTTGATGACTGGATGATATGTGTACTAATTCATTTTTTTTTAAGTTATATATTTCAAATTAGGATTGATAATTGGGGCTGCTGAAAAAAAAGTCAACTTTAGCTTAATATTCTATGTTAGATTATGATGTATGTATATCATGATTTACATTAGCTTTAGGTAATGACTTCAAGCTTGTGACTTTCATTTCAAGAAATTACTTTTGTACGACATATCCTCCTAAAATAAGAGAATAGTACAATAAAGAAGACTCATACTTCAAAACAAAATGGGTTGCATTTTTACTAACATTTATACCCAAATAGTATAATTTCGTTTAATTTTTTTTGGTCAATAAAGTAAATTATCTTTTGTGAGAAATAATTACAATAATTTAACATAAATGAAAAGTGTATATCTCATATTTCATTTAGTAGAAATATAACGAGATTAAACATAATAGAATAATAGAAACTATTTGCTTAACTCTTGAACAAGTGACTGAAAATTCAAGATGGCTTTGATTATCAGCAACGAAAATCTCATGGAAATCATAATATCTTCAAGACTTCTTAAAGTTTGAATTTCCAAACACTTTTGTTGCAATTAATGAAGAAAAACTTACAATTAGTTGACGACCGGCACAACTATGATTTATGATCGATGATTATGATTATAGTGTCGTTGTTTATGCTCATTTTTTGTCAATTGGCCGTATTTTTATTTCAAATTATTTTAATAATATTAAAAGTTTTTAATAAATCCCCATCTAAAAATTTGAGGTAACTTCATTCAACATGTGTGAAATGATTTTACTTTAACAAATTTCGCCAATACGAAGTTAATTCGCAGCTAAATTCATTTGAATTTTATACGCAACACCAAAAATAAGTTTGTCTTGGTCCATTTCCAAATTAGATTCCAATGATTTCTCCATAATTTTATGCATCAAAGAATGCTCACCAACATCAAATTGTCAACTTTTGTATTGAAAATAAAGATTATTTCAATCTAATATAAAATATTAACAACATGAAATTCAATATTAATCAAACGTCCTTATTCTAACTTTAGCTTTTTCTTCGAAGGTCCAAATAAATATTTTTAAGCGGTTTTACCCTTAGCCAATTTGATAATTGGCAAATTTCGGCATTGACATTTTTGTGGGGTTTTTTTTTTTTTTTTTTTGGGTTCGGTCTTTCTTAGTGTGTGACTGCGTGTAAAAAAAGTCTGAAAGCCAGTTAGATTCTTCAAAATAAATAAAAATTTAGACGAGTCAAATACAGCAGGCTCTCTGACTCAATCTCTTTCTTTCTCTTCTTTTTCTCTATATAAGAAAGCATAAGGGAGTGTTTGTAAAGTCTTGAAAAGGGAAAAAGTTGTATTTGGTCTGCAAAGAAGACTTGGTGGGTGGTGATATATAACAGAGAGAAGAAGAACAAAGGGGAAAAGGGGATTGAAGAAATGGAGGCTGAAAGAGAAGAGAAGAAGAAGAAGACGGAATCAAATGGAGATGATGATCGTGATCATCATGAAGACATTGATGATCATCATAAGGTATTTTGACAAAACCCTTTTCTTCCTTTTTCTTGTTTAAATATCAGAAAAGCGCACTTGTACTCCATAGATATGTTAAATATGTTTCGATTTTGAATCTGTTTTAGCTTCTTCTTTTTTTTTCGTTTTTAAACAGATTGAACAAAGTTGCTGAACTTGTGCGAGTGAGTGTTATGATCAGCCACTGATAAATTTATGTTTTGTAACTTAATTGCGTTACTTCGAATTTTTATGAATGTTTATATGAAATAGTTAGAAGATATATCACCAATGGTCCGCTCTCTTTTTTTCTATGTTTTTCTAAGAGACTTTGTCCTTCAAGTTTTCCTTCTTTTCTTTTGTCCTTTTTTTTTTTTTTTTGGAAGATAGTGATTTAAGTTTGTTGATATTGGTCCGTTTTATGATATAGATTAACAATATCCATTGATAAATTGAATAGATGATGGTTATGTTTCTAAATTAATGAAAACCAAAAGAACGGGATAGTGATGTTATTCCTGAACAAACGATCATTTTCCTCAGGAAATACGCAAGAGAGTAAATCCCTTTAGATTTCTTCTGCTAGGAATTAACTTCTTCAATGGGAAAAAAAACAGAGATGTAAATATGGCATGTCTCTGTTCTTCTATTTGACTACCAAAAGAAGGAAGAAATTTTTGTTTAAATTGAAGGAGTTGTCTTCTTCACAATCAATCCGTAACCATGGCTTCATGCAGAAGAAATTTTACTTCAAAAATATTTATATATTCCTCACGGTGCTTTTACATGTAAAACGGATTTGATGGTACATCAATAGGACGAGGGACAGTATTTGTTTTTAAAAACTTGATATTTTGCTGAGTTACAAGGATGGCTAATTAGTCGTGTTCTTCAAACGTTTTCCAGTACATATAAGTGGTATGATCGATGACCATTTCTTAAAAATAATCTGCAAAGTGTGTGTTAATGAAAAGAAGAAACAGCTTAAAAATAAAATAGCTGTACTCAAATTATATTACAGCTAGCCATCTTCACATTAACAATCAAAAGGGTTGACCATAATTAACGTATGTCAGACTATATATACGTTTCATTTTACCACTTGGAGATAACTAGGTTTGACTTTTGTTAAAAAAAAAAAAGAAATGAAGAAAGAAATTCGTGTAATTATAACCGACAGATTAGCTTGGTTCTGCCTCCATTACAACTCATGTACTATTGGAATACTCAGCTCTATTAATTGGAGAAATAATGTTTTGAATCCTTTTCTGAACCATTTTACGTGGTACGATCGTCACACTCAATTTTTTTTTCCCTTACTAGATGCATATGTATAATGGATTTAATTTTCCTATGTTAAGTTGGATTTAATTTTCCTATGTTAAGTTTCTACATAGGAAAAACCCCTTGAAATCATAGCACCATCTATATAATAATGGATTTACTCTAGTTTAATTATGTGTCTGCTTTCTCTACTAATAACTAAAGTCCTAATCTTTACAGGGAGCCCTCCAACCTAAGAAGGATAGATCATCTCCAGAATACAATTCAAAGGCATCTCCATCAGCCAAAAAGGATCAGGTTAGCAACTAATTTCCTTACCTAGAAATCATTCATCAATATACTTCACATTTTAAATAAAAAAGAAATAAAATTGTACGAAGAAAAAAAAAACCCACACATTGATGATACATTCATTAGAAGAACTTCATTGATATTTGGATGAATAATGTAGGATGAACTTCTGAAATCGACGAAAGCCGAGATGGGAGAAGTGATTGAAGAGAATCAGAGGCTAAAGATGGACTTAGATCGCGTAACGAAGCTTTACCGAGCCCTCCAAATGCAATTCCACGAGATGGTTCAACAAGAACCTAATAAATCTAGTAGCACAGTCACTAATACTACCACTACTCATCCAGGTGAAAGCAGCGATCAAGAGCCTGAATTGATTTCTCTAAGTCTTGGAAGGACTTCTTCAAATGATGGAATCATGAAGAAAGAAAATAACCATGGTAAAGAAAAAATGGATATAGATGATGATGATGATGATGATAAAGAAGGGTTGGCTCTTGGATTGGATTGCAAGTTTGAATTACCAAAGAATAATAACCATAATAAACACACCCCGCAGTCGGAAAATTCGCCGAACCCGAGCTTGGAAACGAGCTCCGATGAAGCAAGGGAAGAAGCCGGCGAGACATGGCCACCTAAGAAAAACTTGAAGACGGCGAGAAGTGGAGAAGATAATGAGGTTTCTCAAGCGCAAAACCCTACAAAGAGAGCTAGGGTTTCTGTAAGAGTCAGATGTGACACCCCAACGGTAAGGGAAATTTGCCATGCATATATATGCCACTTAATTTACTATATATAGTATGTACGTTGCATATTATATAAAACAGTTATTTAATCTGGTTTAATTTGATTGGTTGTTTTTCATTTGTCTATTCATTTAGATGAATGATGGATGTCAATGGAGGAAATATGGTCAGAAAATTGCAAAAGGCAACCCATGCCCTCGAGCTTATTATCGTTGTACTGTTGCACCAAACTGCCCAGTTAGAAAGCAGGTACAACTCTCTTTTGCTAGGAAAACCAAAATACTCCCTCCATCTCTGATAGATAGTCTACATTGCAATTTATAAATTACAAATTATAATGTGGTTTTTTTTTCTTTTTGTGGAGAGGAAGAGTATTTTGTAGCTTGTCACCTATTCAATTGAGATAACTAGATAATTAATCATGCGCAGATTTTAAACAACCAGTGTAATAGTAGTACTTAAAATTATAATGTCCAAATGCTGGTAAAATGTTCAAGGAATCCCTTAATTTGGAAGGTACGATCTTATTTGATCTCTGAGCTAAACACACACTTCCATTTTTAGCCCTTAAGGAGAAATTTATAAATTCATATTTTCAGGTTTTGAACTAGAAACTGATGTTCTACTTTTGTTTCTTTCCAATTATTAGGTACAAAGATGTGCTGATGACATGACCATTCTAATAACCACATATGAAGGAACACACAACCATTCTCTCCCGGTCTCTGCCACGGCTATGGCTTCCACCACCTCAGCGGCAGCATCCATGCTATTGTCTGGCTCGACAACCTCCTCCGGCTCCGGTCCATCGCCATCTGCTTCCGCCACTGCCTTTGCCTCCAACACCCTAAACGGACTAAACTTTTACCTCTCGGACAACACCAAATCGAAGCCATTTTACTTACCAAATTCATCCCTCCCCTCCGCGCCTTCCTTCCCCACCATCACATTAGACCTAACCACCAATCCATCAGCAGCATCTCACCTAAACAAACTCGCCACCACAAATTTCCCACCAAGATACAATAATTCCACTACAAATCTCAACTTTAGTTCATTGGATTCGAATTCTTTGCCAATCTCATGGAGTAGTTTTGGAACTCATCAACAGCAACCCTATAGTCACAAAAACCAAAGTACCACCAATTCCTTGAGCTTTGGAAGAATGAACCCTCAAGAAAGCCTATACCAAAATTACCTTCAAAAACATATCCTCAGCTCCACATTAGTACAGCAACAGCAACAACAGCAGCAAAATCTGCCATCGGAAACTATTGCAGCGGCAACTAAAGCGATTACTTCAGACCCAAGTTTCCCATCGGTCTTAGCAGCTGCTTTGACTTCCTTCATTAATTCTTCAGGAGGAGCTCTTCATAATCAAAACTCATCATCAACCGAGTCTTTTCCAGTTCTTTCTAGCTTCCAAGCAACAAGTACTGCAACAAATGTGAACAAATGCTTCTCGGGCTTTCTTCCCTCCAAACCGCCATCTTCATCGTCGACGAATTCTCAGCCCGGAAACTTCATGTTTCTGTCTTCATCCCTGCCATTTTCTACCCAGGGTGGTAAATCTACGTCTCCCGGACATGACAACGGGGACCACATATGAATAATCAGGATTAGTCTGTGGTATGTGGTATGTGTTCGTTTAAAATATCACGTATTACCTGTATCATTGTATTAGATAAAATGTATTTTTGTTCGTTTCCATTTATGAAAAAGAGTAGATATGTAGATTAGGGAGCTTTGTGTAAACACCGATATGCTAGTTGATTAACTGTGAATGAATTTATTTATTTTTCGTTATTTGATTTTCTGAAATATCTTGATGAAGTATAGTGATGTATATAGGTTGTAGAATATTAGTGCATGTGGGATGGATCATGGATGGTGACTCCGAGCGATTATAGATAGAGTTGAGTTCATACAGTATTATTTAAAAAATAATTTTGATATGACTTATGAGTTATGACAAAGTCGATGTATCTTTCAATTATTTAGCAAGTTGTTTTGGTTTGTATGTGAGGTAATTAATGTGCTAAAAAGTCTCAAAGATTGACCAAGGACATGTGACTCTTTGATGTCGGCGCAGCTTCACACATTCGTTTTTCTTCTTTTTTTTCCTTTTTTTCCCCGCTTTTTTTAGTAAGTGATTGCTGATTCTCAAATAAATTTTTTTTTTTTTTTGTTAAGATGCATTTAATTATAAAGAGAGTGTAAGTTCAAAGATAAATTAAAATTTATTCAACTACAAAGTACAAGTTGAAAGTGAGAAATACTGACTACATCAGGTTCTAAACACGGTTCGATAATTATTTCTATTACATGCATCTAATCTCTCGGAACTGATAGGTCAACTATAGACGTTATACTAGTGATCAAACGCAATTAGAGATGATATACAAAGAGTTGTTGTGGAAATGGTTCCTCATTAACTTTGTAGGCCTTTGTTATATATATAATTATTTTAAATTTAGATTACCCTTCTATGACCCTTACTGCCAACTCGGATCACCGGGAGGTTCAACGGTACCCTTGTCAACCATATTTTCCGGTCAAGAACGAATTACTGATAGGATGATGTATACAAGGAGACTTTAGATTCTTTGGCCAACTTTCTCATCAAGGTATCTTCTCACGGGTTTTAGTGCATGTAGCAGTATTATTTTCTGTTCAAAGTGGGGTTTTTTTTTGTTAACTTTCCTCATCTTAAAATTAAGCAAACTTTGGAAGCCCAAACACCCAAACCCAAAAGGAAGCAACAAAAAAAAACTAAGTAAATTTGGCTAAAACTTTTGTTAAGCTTTTGTGCAATATATGTTACTTTTCACCTAGTCAATAATAATAGTGTGAACATTGATATTTACATTTACATTTAGTATTGGAATTTTTTTTTTTCCCTTTAATTTTCCCTCTGGACCAATAGTCAAAGGGAACGATAAGCACAATTACAAGACATAATAAGACACAATAGAAACCTGCCGAAATAGTTGTAGAAGGTTTTTTGCGTTAATGGATATATTAGTGATAACAATATGGAAAACTTTTATCGTTATAAGCGATCTACCTTTCAAAAATTCTTGTTAAATGAGTCAAACTTTCAAATTTCTCCCAAAGGATGAATATTTTGAAATATTTTACTTAGAGACGAACAAAAAATGACAAAATTAAAATAAGAAAAGAACGGGCAGATAATATTAGTAAAGTTGGTGTTCATATCAATATACCCAGATGTTCTTTAATTTTCATTTAACCAAAATAGTCGAGAGGGGACAAAGAGCATACACCCCTAAAATGTGGTCTGTCTCTCCATTGAATGAAATAGGCCTATAGATTCGTTCTCATGGTTTAGAATAGAGGTTATAAAAATTACCAAGAATTTATCGATTCATTTTTCTTGAACACACATTTTTTCCACTAGAAAACTAAGTAAAAAAAAAAAAAAACCCATGGCCGCTTCATATTCTCTCTCTTTGTTTTCCTGCACATTTTTCATGATTCTCATTTCAACCATTAATCATCTCTGTATAAAAATCCCACTTGCAGAAAGCTTCACAGTTGATCTGATTCATCGTGACCATCCCATATCTCCATTCCACAACCCGAACAAATCCCGACACGAACTTCAACATGATGCTTTTTGCCGTTCACTTTCGCGGGCCGAATATCTCAAGGCCCGAATCATGCAACAGCGGACACCTGGACATCCATTTCGTGATTTCTCGTTGACCGGGCCCCGAGATGAGCCGGTTTATTCATACTTGAAAAACGGTGGCGGGGAATATCTGATGGAAGTAACCCTCGGGACGCCGCCGTTTAGTTTCGTGGGAATCGCAGACACGGCCAACGATTTTACCTGGACACAATGCCAGCCTTGCCGGGAATTTTGCTACAACCAAACCAGCCCGATTTTCAATCCCCTGGCGAGCATAACGAACCGGAAGTTACCGTGTGATTCTGACGTTTGCCGGGCAGCAAAAGGCGCGGGATGTGACACATCAAACTTTTGCTACTATTGGTATCAGTATGGAACTAAAACTCATTTCTTTAGCTCGGGTACTCTTGCTTCAGATACTTTCACATTTGCAACAACCACCAAAAATGGTTCGGGTAATGGTACTACCCATGTTTCCATCCCGGGCGTAGTTTTCGGATGTGGGAGCACGAACCTTCAGATATCCGAGGCGAGTGTGATTGGACTTGGGTACGGGCCGTTATCGATGGGGAACACCATCGGAAAATTCCTTAACGGGACAAGATTCTGTTATTGCTTAGTTCTTAATTATCCCGGCCAACCGGGTCATGGGAACATGAGTAAGATTAGTTTCGGGCCGAGCGTGGTTGTTTCGGGCCCTAACACCGTATCAGCCCGTCTGTATTCGCGATCCCCCGACCCATTCTATTACCTAAATCTTGAAGGGTTTAGTGTTATGAGAGGAAGGACCCGCAAGGATCTCGCGACGGATGCGAAAAAAATCAGCTATAATTCGTTTGACGATGGTAAAGGTGATGCATGGTCGTCACAACCAGGTAACATGATAATCGATACTAGCACGGCACAGACGTTTTTGTCTAGGAAAATCTGGACAGATTTAGTCCAAATTTTGCATGACACAATAAACGGGACGGCATCGGGGGATGATTATACTCGGTTTGGGTTTTGTTATGGACCTAATAATCAAGGCATAAGTTTCCCGGACATTGTTCTTCATTTCACCGGCGGAGCTGACCTTGTACTGCCTTCTTCAACAACGTTTGTTCCCAATGATTATTATGGGAAAGGGGCGGTTTGTTTAACGTTGGTTGCTACAGATGATGTTGCCATTCTGGGGAATGTGGCCCAAGGGAATAATCATATTGGATTTGATTTGGACAATGGATGGGTTTCTTTCCAGCCAACCGATTGTTCCAAGCTAGTTTAATGTATGATATAATTAGAAGATCCAAGAAAGTTGTTTTTTTCTTTTTACTATTGTTATATTATTAAAATTGTAAATGAAAAAAACCAAAATTTAGAATAGCTTAATTACAAAGCTTTACTGCATGTGAAAGTTGTGAACTCAATAGAATTTGCCTACGAAATTCAAGTACGAAAACAAAATACTCATTAAAGAGGTAATGAGTTAATTCTTTATTTAACCTTTCATTCGTAATTTCCTTTATTGTACCCCAAAAACAAAATACAACTATAGAAATTAGTCCATTTTGATTTAATCATGTGCATATATGTACAAAGAAATGAAGAATGAGCCATCATCACTTAATAGTTTCATTGAGTGTTATAGATCTTCAAATTAAACAAACAACCAGAGACTTTACATGCGAGTCGTAACGATTCTTTCCAAGGTTCGAAGCTCGAAACATTGTTTCGGATATTTTAGTAATTTTATGAAGTTTTTTTGTGATATTATCCCTTTTTTTCCTTTTTGAGTTTTCTGATTAAAAAAAAGGTCTCGTATCTCAAAAAATAGACTATCTTCCAAAGACACAGTGAGTACAAATTTAGATGGATATGAATGCCTGAACCGTGTAATTAAAATGCGCGCCGAGGGAAACAGTTGTATTGTTAAAATCATATCATCTTTTATGACCAAAAAGGAAAAAATAAAAAATAAAAATCCTATCAATTGGCTTAAGTCATTTTTTTTTTGTTTGAAATTGGTGAAGGCGTCTAATATTGTTAACACTTAAAAAAATAAGCCCAAAATACAACGTCATTACTTAAGACTTAAAAGACACCCAAGTGGTGGGTTGTCGAAACCCCCAAAATAAATTACCAACTTAAACTGTATATAGGATAAATCGAGTCGATCCCACAGGGACGAGTTAAACTTTAAATAACCGAAAAACAAACAAGAACACAATAGTTGCAGAGTGTCACTCACTTGAACGAGTGGTAAAGTCACTCATACAAGTGGCTCTGTAGAAGTGAAAACAAACAAAGACAAATGAAACCTCACTCACGGGAGTGAGAATTCCGACTCAAGGGACTGACTCAACAAACTGGATATTCATTCTCTTTTTCCTATGTAATCAAGTTGTAATCTTGCACTCTTTTGGTATGAATTCATTCTCATTCAGGCACTTATATATCTCTAAGTCTCTTCAATTTTTCCTAGAGGTGTCTTTATGAACTCAATTAGCTATTTTTAAATGATTAATCAAGTCCTAAAGTCATTAAGTTTTCAAGCCTTATATGAATGCTTATGCTAATCAAGTATATTCCTATCTCAATTAGAACCTTGGACTGTTACCTCCAAGTCATAAGTTGAAACTAAATGATTCTGAATCTTGTTTACCCTTCCGGGATTCACTTTGTTCTGTGCAGAATCAATCAAATGGCCAATTTAATCAAGAGGTAGATGAAAGCTTTAACTTCAAAACACAAAATCATCCGAATGCATTCACAAACTTAAACTACATAGATTCCAGAGAATGAAATCTAATTAACTACGCATACAAACTACAGAAAATACAAGAAAAGAAGGAAAACGTTGAGAAAAAAGCAAATCTGGATGGCTGAGCAGCAGGTCACTCGCAAGGTCACTCAGGCGAGTGTGGTCTGTTACTCCTCTTTTGCTGCTACTGGACTTCTTCTTCTTGGAGTTTCTTGATCTCCTCTCCGGTCTCTTCTTCTCTCTCTGTGGTGTTTGGTGTGTTGTATGTCTTCTGATGTCTGTTTTTCTGTTGGGAATGCAGCCCCCTTTATAGAGCTTGTTGCCGGTTCTTCTTCCAAGAGAGTCTTACCATGCTTGTGTATTTTTTATTAACCCCAATGAATTGTGTATTGAATCCGATTTTGACTGGCCTTTTCCTTTTCTTCCAGCAGTGGTATCAGCAATAGTATTGATTAATGTGGGTTGTTGGTTCTTCATTCAATGGGACAAGCATGCTCTTTAGTTTCTATTGTGGGACACCCTTATTAACTTCCAGTGTTTTGTGTATTTGAGTTACTTTTTGACCAACTCAGCCCTCATTTTAAATTAGAATCAACAGCCCAATTATTGCTCCATAAGCCCCCATTTTCAGCATTTGTTCACTTTGGTCCTCACCTATTTAGAAACACAAAACTAACTAAGTAAAATGAACAAAGTCTAAGAAACACCCCTAATTTTTAACTAATTAAAGAGCAAAATTGCAATGCTTTTGTGTAACAATTTGACCGTTATCAACTCTCCCAAAATAGAAGAATTGCTTGTCCTCAAGCAAAACAATCTAACCCCTTAAGAACTACACATAGAAACAAGAAAACATTAGCTAACCACTGACTCCTCTGAGTGAAAATGTCACTCAAGTAAGTGACACTACTGACTCCCCTGAGTGACAAAAGTCACTTAGGCAAGTGACACTACAACAAACACACAAGAACTTAACAGCAACTACCAAACATAACTAGTTCATATGAAAATCGGATACAACATCTCAGACGCAAGAAAAACAAGTATATCTTCATCCAAATTCGAATTTCACCTAGTCTTTACGAAATCACCTCTGTATGTGTGTGAGTCATGCCAAGTATGAAACATAACAAATTAGTATAAGGTAAATAACATCTCATGGTGCATATTTAGATATTTCTTAGCTTTATTTATGACTCGTTCTTTCTTACCACAAGTATGCTAATGTGGCCAATACAGCCTCAGAGATACAAGGACTCTCACAATTCATTTCTTTTCAACTATTCTCCTTCATTCCCTTGTATTTACCTCCGAGTCTTTTGGCTTTTTCTATTTATGACTCATGATTCTTTTTCTTTTCAACTTCCGGCCCCTCCTACCAAGAGCTTTCGATAGGAGACTTTGCTTTCCAGGCCAAAGGATCACTCATTGTTGCCATTTCACTCTAAGGGATTTAGCATTGATGCTCTACCTTATACTCCCTCAAGTTCTTTTGAACTTTTTATTTACTCATTTTTGAGCATTCTGTCTACCAATTCCCAAAGAAGGTATTAAAAAAGGTTATTTAAGCTTGCCTTAGTCAACTCTTTACCATGTAAACAAACCACACTTCGCATTCAAGTGGTAGTTAAAAAAGGCATTTAAACATTTTTAACCAATTTAAACACCACAAAGCATGCTATAAAACTCAACTTCAATGTAACTAAGCATAAAAGGCATGTGTGCTTAAGTAGTGTAGAGATGATAACCAAGAGTTAGGTAAAATCAAAATTTGAATTAGATATAAGAAATTAAGTACATTGGTCTTCATAGATATCCCATTATCATAGAACTAGCATTCACAAAAATCCGAAAAAATTTATAAACATATTCCCTACTACTTCCCTAAACTTATCAAAGCATTGTCCTCAATGCTGACAAATACATAACATAAAATAAAAAACACAGAACACAAAACAAAATGAACACAAAAGAAAAAAAAATGCAGAAAAATGAAAAAAAAAAATGTGTAGTCACTCGTAGGAGTGATATTCTCATTCCTGTAAGTGAGGTAGAGGACTGATGACTTCCCTGAGTTAGAGCAATTAAAATGGATGAGGAGGGCTTAATGCTGCACATCATTCATCATATGCATTTGATGGTTTGGAAACTCTCGGTTGTGTTGAACATCAGAACACAACAAAGATTCAACAGTAGTATGGAAGAGTTCAGAATTTTTATTTTTCTCCATTACTACTCGCTGGAATGACTTTGGTCACTCGCGGGAGTGACTCTGCAGTCCTTCTTTAGCTGCAAATTTAGTTTTCTCAAATACCAAGGATTAAAATTGAAACATAGATTGAAGATATCAGAAATTAAGCTCATGAAGTTCCTTCGTTTATACGGTTAAGCACACAGACTAGAAAGCAACAAACGGAATCACTATAGTTCCAGAAACAGATTCAGCTTTTAAGATCGTAACTCAGAAAGAACTAGGTGACTCATATGCACTCAAACATGCTAATTCTGAAAATTATAACAAAACTTGCTAGATATGGCATCAATGTTCATAAAGATATTAGAATTTTACCCCAGATTAAATCCTAGCAAGTACACATTAAGCACATAAAATTTCAGAATTAACAAGCTATTAAGGGATATGACATACAAATGATATCTCAAGAACCTAGAAGAAAGAAAACATGAAGGTAAAACAAAATAAATGGGAGTGTGAAAGAAATAAATTGACTTCAAACATCAAGTAGGTTCAGAGTTACTTTGCCGAGTGACATGAGTCACTTGCCAGAGTGTCTTAGAACTTTCAGCAATAAACACAAAATTTCAAAGTCTACAACTTCAGTTTAGAAACAAAATACAGTAACAACAATCGTGCGTTAACAGAGCAGACATCAATTCTCCCAAACATAAAACAAAGTATACATCCTATGCAGACTAAAAGAAATCAAGAGCAAACCAGTCACAACAACTCAATTTGTTGCAGGCACACTCGGGAGTGACTAATCTCACTCTCCAGAGTCACTGAGATCAGAATCTGCTGCACTTTTGGATTACCCATTGAATTGGGATGGCATTGATACTTCTTCTGCACATGGAAGCACACACATTAAACAAGAAAAAATTAAAATCACATAAAAACAAACTAAAAGGAAAAGAACATGGGTTGCCTCCCATGAAGCAAGCAAAATGTTGAAATGCAAGATGCATTCTATAATCAACTCTTGTGGCTTCAAGTCACTCAGAATAGCCATCTTGATACCACAAGAATGTGCCATCAATTAGCCTATCATGCCTCCAGGAAGCATTCTCTTGAATCATCCAACATAAAAGAAAATATTTCTTGCTCCACTCTTCCAACATTTTAGGGATTTTCTCGGCTTGAAATTGATTAAAATCAACCATCTCTTCTTGCGCTCCCCAAGTATGTTTACCTTTGACTCCATCAACATGACCCTCATCAATGGAGATCATTGTCTCTCTCTTCTTGAGTTGTTGTCAATTATAGTTTGGAGATGAAGACTCATTCG